GGTTTTCCACTAGCCACATGCCCCTGCACAGGTGCAGATGCTGAGTGGGTAGAGAAGTGAATGTCACCTGGTTTGGCACTCAGCCAACCAAATTCAGAGATTCAAGAGCTGGTCAAGGGAGCTGACAGCACACTTGATGGACACATAACTGCACCTTAGTGCTAACTGTCCTTTATCTCAGGTATGCATATATGTCTAGAAAAAAATTATATTGGCCTTAGACATTTCGCAGAGATTGAGGATAACTGAGCCACATCTGTGATAGCTAGCTAGCCCCATAGCCTTCGCTGTTGTGGGGATGACAAGGAAATCTAGCGCCTACCTGTGCCTTTGGGTTTCCAGTTCAATTCTTTCCAAGGGCCCATGAGGGTCACCCATCCTGTTCTTTCAAGAAGATCACTATCTCCTTTTTGTTTGTTTTTTGTTTTTTGAGATGGTGTCTTGCTCTGTCACCCAGGCTGGAGTGCAGTGGCATGATTTTGGCTCACTGCAACCTCTGTCTCCTGGGTTCAAGTGATTCTCCTATCTCAGTCTCCCGAGTAGCTGGAATTACAGGTGCACACCACCACACCCAGCTAATTTTTGTACTTGTAGTAGAGATTGGGTTTTGCCATATTGGCCTGGTTGGTCTTAAACTCCTGACCTCAGGCGATCCGCCCGCCTCAGCGTCCCAAAGTGCTGTGGCGTGAGCCGCCACACCCGGCTGCACAATCTCCTTTTTTGACATGAGTATCCTCACAACCAGCCCCTACCATTTGAGGTAGTTTCAATCTATTTTTCAAGCAACTAAGAATCTAAGAGAGCTTTTGCTTTAAAATTAGTAACAATATCTTGTAGTTGTATACTTCTCTATTGCTTCTAAAGTATGCATTTTCTTGCTTTATTTTACCTATATATGTATTTGCTGAGTGGAAAATGTGGTTTTTAATTGTGTGGACTTTGGCATCAAGCAGATCTTGTTTTGAATACTAGCTTCATTACATCTTATCCTGCCAAATAGCAAATTTCTTCTATTGTGATTTCATTATCATCAATATAAAGAAATAGACTCTCTTATTGTTCAACTGCTTTATTACAAGGACCTCTCCTTGTATGAAATGTAAACTTCTTGTTTAGACGTCAGGATTCAGGAACATGTTTCAGCTAAGTATGACACATCCTAAAGGATGGCTAGTGTAGGAAAGAGTGATTTTTCTGTATTCTACCGTTGTCAATCACTTTAGATGTATCTGAACTATCACAGACTCCCTGAGCATTCCTAGTTAATGCTCAGACTTTGTTCCATAACAGCTAATTTGGGCTGGGCGTGGTGGCTCACACTTGTAATCTCAGCACTTTGGGAGGCTGAGGTGGGTGGATCTTGAGGTCAGGAGTTCGAGACCAGCCTGGCTAACATGGCGAAACCCCATCTCAACTAAAAATAAAATAGCTAGGCATGGTGGCACATGCCTGTAATTCCAGCTACTCAGGAGGCTGAGGCAAGAGAATCATGTGAATCGGGGAGGTGGAGGTTGCAGTGAGCTGAGATCATGCCATTGCAGTCCAGCCTGGGTGACAGAGTAGATTTCAGCCTGGAAATGCAGCCCAGTAGATTTGAGCCTTATTTTCCCCAGCTCCTATTTAAGATGGAGTTGCTCTGGTTCACATGCCTCTGACAATCACACCTCCCAAGCCCAATTATATTACAGGTGTGAGCCACTGCACCCAGCCCCTTCTTTCAAAAAGTATATAATTTCCTGTAATGTGATGGTTAATACTGAGTGTCAGCTTGATTGGATTGAAGGGTACAAAGCATTGATCCTGGGTGTGTCTGTGAGGGTGTTGCCAAAGGAGATTAACATTTGAGTCAGTGGGCTGGGAAAGGCAGATCCAGCCTTAATCTGGGTGGGCACAACCTAAGAAGCTGCCGGCAAATATAAAGCAGGCAGAAAAATGTGAAGAGGTGAGACTGGCTAGTCTCCCAGCCTACATCTATCTCTCCTAATAGAATATATATATCCTATTAGTGCTGTTCCTCTACAGAACCCTAACTAATACAGTAGGACAGGCCTTACCTTCATGCCATTATATGAAGGTGAGGACTAAACTCTGATTTTTATCTTGCCCAAATTCCTATCTAAAGGGTCTGGGGAGTCATGCCCTACAAATCATAAATTCTCATCAGATGGGTTTTATTTAACCCTAATTGTGACTTACTTTCCAACTTGACCCTGGCATAACATTATGAGATAAGAAAGAAAATCAAAGTATTTTATCCCAAAACATGTTTCTTTTCCATATTTTGAAATGGTCATACAAAGCTGTTCTTTGTGGCAGAAAATTTGCATCTGTCAAGAATCTCTGTTAACCTAGCTAGATCTTTTTCTTCCAGATCCTCCCAATCCTAAAAAGATGAACTAAGATCTGAATAGGAAACATTAGTCATCTATTGTGTTTAAGGGCAGCCACTATAAGACTTTGAAAGAACTTTGGCCTCCAACATCTTTTATCTTAACCTTTTATCTGAATATTTCCTTTCTAACAATCCAGGTGTTTAGAAAACTCAGCCAGGCCAGGCGCGGTGGCTCAAGCCTGTAATCCCAGCACTTTGGGAGGCCGAGGTGGGTGGATCACGAGGTCAAGAGATTGAGACCATCCTGGTCAACATGGTGAAACCCCGTCTCTACTAAAAATGCAAAAAAATTAGCTGGGCATGGTGGTGTGTGCCTGTAATCCCAGCTACTCAGGAGGTTGAGGCAGGAGAATTGCCTGAACCCAGGAGGCGGAGGTTGTGGTGAGCCGAGACCACACCATTGCACTCCAGCCTGGGTAACAAGAGCGAAACTCCATCTCAAAAAAAAAAAAAAAAGAAAAAAAGAAAAAGAGGCTGGGCGCGGTGGCTCAAGCCTGTAATCCCAGCGCTTTGGGAGGCCGAGGCGGGTGGATCACGAGGTCAAGAGATTGAGACCATCCTGGTCAACACGGTGAAACCCCGTCTCTACTAAAAATACAAAAAATTAGCTGGGCATGGTGGCGCGTGCCTATAATCCCAGCTACTCAGGAGGCTGAGGCAGGAGAATTGCCTGAACTCAGGAGGCGGAGGTTGCAGTGAGCCGAGATCGTGCCATTGCACTCCAGCCTGGGTAACAAGAGCGAAACTCCGTCTCAAAAAAAAAAAAAAAAAAAAAAAAAAAGAAAAAGAAAACTCAACCAATTGTCAACCAGAAAATGTTTAAATTGTTTTAATTCATCTATAGCCTGGAAGCACCTCCCCCCCCAGCCCCCACCTTTTAGTTGTTCTGCCTTTCAGGACCAAACCAATATGTGTTTCTTAAATGTATTTGATTGACGTCTGGTGCCTCTCTAAAATGTATGAAACCAAGCTGCACCCTGACTACCTTGGGCACATGTTCTCCGGACCTCATGAAGGCTGTATCACAGGTCATGGCCACTCATATTTGGCTCAGAATCCCTTCAAATATTTTACAGAGTTTGACTCTTTTTGTTGACAAAGGGAAATAGCTATCTCTATCTATGCATACACAGACCTTTTGTAGTTCTTGTTTTGAATCCCAGCTTCATTACATCTTGTCCTCCCAGATAGCACATTCCTTCTATTGTGGTTTTATCATCAATATAAAGAAATAGACTGCAGCCTTGAACTGGCTGACATTACTTGAGATGGCCTCAGGTGATCCTCCCACCAGGCTGGATCCAGGATGTTATGAGTAGAATTTTTGATGCCGCCAAAGAAGTAGCACTCGAATATAAATTTCCTCAGCAAGGCAATTTACTTCTATAGGAGGGTGCAGCTCACATTTGGAACAAAGGCAAGTGCACACCTGCACAAGGAGGGGAAGAGGTACTTATGCCCTGAATGAGGGTGCCCCTACTGCTGTGTTGTTCCCCTATTGGCTAGTGTCAGATTGCACAGTCTAGTCTAATTTCGATTGGCTATTTTAAAGGGGGCAGGGATATGAGCTGGAGTGGCGGGGTGTGTAGCTTGGCAGGAAGGACGGTTACAGGCAGGTCAGAGCAGATAAGCAGGGGTCAAAGCAGGTGACTGGAGCAGGTGACCAGGATGAGTCAGGACGGGGCAGAGGACCAGGTGAACAGATGTAAACTACTGATTAGAACTGGTGGACAAGGTTGTTTACTGAAACTACAAGGAAGTTAAACTTTAGAGAATTAAAGAATAAGAGAGCTGAACATATTGATTCTTTGAAGAGAAACTTGGTGTTCACTCTATCTAACAAGGAGTTCAAGGCAGCAGTGAGCTATAATCTCACCACTGCACTTCAGCCTGGGTGGCAGAGACCCTGCCTCAATAATCATAATACATTTTAAAAATTTAAAAAAATGCAGGAAAGGCAAATTAGGGATTTTTGCAAATATCTTCTGAACCCTCGTAACTGCCCTAGAAGGTAGTATTATTCCTCTTTTACAAGTAAGAAAACTAAGGCTTCTAGAGCTTGAATGACTTGCCCAAGATCACTCAGATAAAAAGTGGGAGTTGCACAATCAACTCATTTAATTTCAGAGCTGAAAAACCTGCCAGTGTAGCAGAGTGCTGTGAATTATCAGGAACAGGTGAGATCAGTGATTATGATGGCGCTGGGAGAAGGGGTGTACGTGAATTTGCTTTTTAAAAAGCAGTCAATAAAGAGGCTAGGTCACAATGTCGTATTTACCAGCATCTAAGATAGTGCTTCCCCATTGCCCACGTGGCAGAAAGCTCTTCCCTTGCTCTGCCCGCAGGACCCATCCTCTCCCTGCAAGGTCTGTGGGGATTTCTCAAGGACAAGGTTGCAGGGATAAATTGTGTCAGCTGTTGCTTTTTAAGGGTGCAAATTGATCTGATTAACCCAAGTTCCTGAGAGAGACTGACTACACGAGGATAAAAGGGGAGGATGTTAACGCTGGTGGTTCATTTTTGGCCTTTTCTCTTTCCAAAAAGGTGGAGTAGCTGGTATGTGGGTACAGAGCATGTCATGAGGACTTTTTTTTTTTTTTTTTTTTAGCAAATCCATGAGTTGACACGTAAAAGCTGACCTGGGATTAAAAGGTAAGTCAGTTGGGCATCCCTATAAGAACAAACCTTTCTGGCCAAAAGATCAGGCTGGCAAACTCCTGCTGTTGCGATTCATGCTCTAGAATGACAGAGTGTGACCTGGTGTCTAGGAATGGGAATTAATCTAATTTATCTCCTGTTTCTTTGGAGATGGCTTAGCTCCGTAGTGGAGAGAATATAGCCTTTGAAGCCAGACAGACCTGGGTTCAAATTCTAGCTCTGTGGCTCCTGAAAATCTACATAATTTCTCTGCTGCTCAGTTTTCCCATTTGTTGAATGAGGATCATAATATTTACCATGTAGGGCTACTGTGGTTATCAAACAAGGTGAAGTAAAAGGGCCAGTCGTGGTGGCTCACGCCTGTAATCCCAGTACTTTGGAAGGCCAAGGAGGGCAGATTTCTTGAGCTTAGGAGTTTGAGGCCAGCTTGAGCAACCTGGTGAAACTCCGTTGATTAAAAAAATACAGTAATTAGCCGGGCATGGTGGGATGCACCTGTAGTCCCAGCTGGGGATGCAGTGAACTGAGATTGCTCTGCTACACTCTAGCCTGGGTGACAGGGCCAGACCCTGTCATACACACACAAAAAGGGATAAAGTAAAAGGACATCCCAAGGTGACTGGCAGTAAATGGGTGGCTGCTACCTCTGTTACCAAAATCAAGCCTCCAATCTCTATGCCATGTACATATCTGGACAAGCAGCTTGGTTCCAGCTGCAGCCTTGTGTCCCTTTCCTGCACTTTAGAAGGTAACTGTTTCAGGAAGAAAGCTCTGCACATGTCAGCAATGCCAAGCAGCCCCCTGAGGAAAGGGCTGCAACTGGAGTGGTACCATTAGAGGGGAACCGGCATGGGGCAGGCTGCTGTGCAGCCTGGGGAGAGTCAGTTCACCTCTCCGGGCCTCCAGCTTTTCAGTGTTGTCTGGGGATAATGATAGCTGCCCATTGCATGATTGGAATAATCACATTTATCCTATGTAAACAACTGACAAGGACTTGGCTCTTACCTGCCCAGTTCGTGCAATAGGGATTTGAGGAACTATCTGCCTCTTGAACTGGGTGGGTGTGGATGAAGGCCAGACTGTAGGGAGGACCCACTGAGAGTGAGGCAGTGAATGTCCTCTGCAAACTGTGCCATGCTGGACCTACCTGGAACGTTCCTGACCCATGAAGAATATGTGCCAGAGCTTGTGTTTTTCATTCACAGCTGCAGTGACCCGAAATTCCTCAAATCCCCTGAGTGCAAGGCCATGGCTCAGAAAAGCCCTGTGGACAACACCATTAATCTCCCCTACAAGGATCTGACCTCTGAGGTGACCAGGCGCAGAGTCATCATGACCACCAGGTACCCAAAATCTTTCCTGTGGATTGCTTGTGGGGTTGGGATGGAGCATCACACTGAGCCTCAGCAAGTACCTGAAACTGTAGCTGTCACTGGTCCATTTAAATGTATTCAGTTGCTGCTGCAAGACACATTTCTCAGAAGAGGAAACTGCTTTGTCATCCATTGCGAAAAACAGACTTTTCTCACATGGCCCTTCAAGGGGCGATGGCACCCATTTGTGTATGTTTACTGCGTGGGTGCTGGCGGGATAAACTTCACATTGGCATAGAGGGTGAGGAGTAGGGATCACTTTATTTTGTTTTTTGTTTTTTTGAGACAGGGTCTCACTCTGTCACCCAGGCTGGAATTTAGTGGCACAATCACAGCTCACTGTAGTCTCAGCCTCAACCTCCTGGGGCTTAAGCAATCCTCCCACCTCACCCACCTGAGTAGCTGGGGCTACAGCCATGTACCACCATGTCTGGTTAGCTTTTTGTATTTTTAATAGAAACAGGGTTTTGCCGTGTTGCCCATGTGGGTCTCAAACTCCTGGGCTTCAAGTGATCTACCTGCCTCAGCCTCCCAAATTGCTGGGATTATGGACCAGAGCCACTGTAACTGCCCAAGCTGACACCTCTAGCTTGAGCTCTTTGTGGGGTATATTATGAGATTAAAAATAATCTTACTAACTCTGATTAAGAAGTTGGTCAAAAAATCAAAATTATTGATTCAAAATAGAAAATACAGACTTCCATATAATATTGTTTACAATGCCCTTTGATCTTAGAGTTTATTAGGATGTAAGATATTAGCAGATTGATAGGAATTAGATACCGTTTCTTAGTTACCATACATGAGAATGTCAAATCTTTGTTGTTAGCGGTGCATGGCGAATTTGACACCACGGGTTTAGCCATGAGAGTGGCCATTGTCTGCAGAAAGCTGTGCTCCCAATGCTCTGAAGTCCATCCAAGAAAAAAGAGATGGCATAATTCTGGGCCTGCCCTAGGCACCAAACAATTCTCTTGCCAGTATCCCACATCCTCGCAGCAACATCAGGATCAGCTTTGATTGGGAGATGGCAGCAGTGAACTTGTGGCCAGATTAAAATTTAAATTGGGATCCCAGTTCTGCCTTTTACTGGTCACATGATCTGGGTAAATCACCTTCTGTCTCAGCTTTCTCAGCTCAAAGGTTTAATGTGGGATATGGCTGAGATTCTACATGTGGTTGATTTCTAGGTAATTTCCAGTCCCTGGAACATAGTAAGTGTTCAGGGAACAGTTAAATCTGAACCTGTAAAAGCTTGACAGGCTAGTCCTGTGCCCTTGAAGGCAGGGTTTGCCCAGCCCTGAGGAGGATGGGAAGACCCTGGTATGCCTCAGCAGAAGGGGAGGTGAACCCTGCAGCCTGTGGATGAGGGCAAGTTAGGCCAAAGGGAGCTGTGAAGTGAACGTGAGGCTGAACTGGCCCTACGAAGAGCTGGAATGCAAATGAAACGTTTAGACACAGCCTGCTGCATGCTGAATTGTACAGAGAGCTGCCCATTTGATGGGTAGAACTCCTGCTCTAATCCTAAGAGAGCTTGGAGGATGGCGGTGGAGGAGCGAGGGAGTAGAGTCCAACTCTATTCATGCCAGGACACCAATGGAGATAGCTGAGCTTACTCTGAGAAGAGCTGACTGACAATTAAAATGTACATAGAATATATCTCATATCTGCAGAGTAAGTGTGGGTGGAAGAGCTTGGAAGGAAGTCCTCCAAAATGTTAACTATTCTCTTTAGATGCTGGCATCTGGGATGTTTCTTTTGTGCCCTCTTTTTTGTTGTTTTGAGACAGGGTCTTACTCACCCAGGCTGGAGTGCAGTGGTGCAATCACAGCTCACTGTAACCTTGGTCTCCTGGGCTCAAGCAATCCTCCCACCCCGGCCTCCCGAATAGCTGGGACTACAGGCACATGCCACCATGCCCGGCTAATTTTTAGTCTTTTTTTGTAGAGACGGGGTCTCCCTATGTTGTCCAGGTTGGTCTTGAACTCCTGGGCTCAAGTGATCGTCTCACCTCAGCCTCACAAAGTGCTGGCATTACCCAAGCTAATTGATGGGTGGAACTCCTGCTCTAATCCTGAGTCTGTTCTATTTTTTTAAAAAGCTTATCTTTATCAAATGACATTCAATGTCCCTTTCTTTCTAGAAAAGAGATAATCACCCAGAAAAGTGATGAAGCTAAGATGCTCTCCCACTTGGATTGGGAACAAGCCCCTCCCCCTCACAGGACCCACCTCAGAGTACCTCCTGCCCCACCTCCTTCTCCAGCTGAGGATGCCACGGACTCCTAAGATAAAAACCTTAAGTTATTTTGAAATGAATTCTTACACAGAACTCCAGAAAATAGTTTCAGTGGTGTTCTTGAGGTTTGTCTTAGAAGACTCTTAAAGATCTTTGTTCTTTCCTATTTTTCTTCATCACCTAGAACATGGTACAGCGTGGTTTACCCTTGTGAATATACTTAGTCATTTTGATTTTTCAAGCCAAGTCTCTGATACAATATGCATAGACTTTGATCTTTAATTTACGTCATGTTATAGAACTATTGCTGTAGTCAGTTATATTTAAATTAATAAAGAATTATCAGGCCTTGTTGTTTATTACTAAATCTGAATCCGTGAAAAGGCCATGGCTTTAAAGTCCAGAATTTAAAGATCTTAGGTAGTGGGAACCCCAAGGTAGCTGGATTTTCAAAACGCAACCCAAGACACTACAGTTGTGTGGCCCTGTAACTAACTAGCTTAATGGAGCTGCATTTCCATGCTGTGGCCAGGGTGGGGCTGGGGATAAGGTGGTTGAGTTTTATGTTTATTGACAATGTTTTTAAAGTTTGCTTCTGGGAGATTTCAAGTGATTTTCAAACTCTGTAATGGAAAACTCTACCCTGAAAATCAGCCAAGTGCAGGTGGCTCTGCTGGGGAGAAGTCTGTTGCTTGAGTCCCTCCAAGCTCCTAGACCTCAGTGTGCCTCTAAGGGCTCCCAGAGCTCTTCTGAATTGTTTGAAGGCATCAAAAATGTGATAATTCTGGCATATATACACATGTAAGAAAGACGACATGCCATCCTTTATTTCATCTGCTTCTTCCTAGAGTCCTTGCAGGTGTTCTCTCTCCAGGCCTGCCCTTATAAATGTGCTCTGGCTCCCCTATAAAAAAGGGAGCTAAGCTTCTGTACCCCATTGTGGGGTTGGGGTAATCACTCTGTGCTCTCCCCCGCCCCTAACCCCCATTTAATGAAACCAGTGTGCCTTTGTTAAAAATATAAAGTGCTCCAGTTCTTCTACTCCCAGAGTAGCGGGTTGTGCCATTGGTGTGGAAGTCGGGCTCCTTACCTGTGGCCTTCAGCGGTGTGAGGCAGGGGAGGAGCATGCACTGAGTGTCTGTCATTGCCAGCTGGATGCTAGATGCACAAGCTCCCTCTCCTCCGTCTGGGGAGGAAACGGGCCTGCACTGTCCAATAGGACAACCACTAGCCACTTGTGACTACCTCAATTTAAATTCATCAAAATCAAATCAATTCAGTTCTTCAGTCATACTAGTTACATTTCAAGTGCTTAGTAGCTTTGTGCAGCCAGTGGCTACCCTATAGGATGTTGCAGATAGAGAATGTGATTGCCATTAAAGAGAGTTCTATACAGCCAGGTGTGGTGTCTCACCTCTGTAATCCCAGTACTCTGGGAGGCAGAGACAGGTGGATCACCTGAAATCAGGAGTTCAAGACCAGCCTGGCCAACATGGTGAAAGTGTGTCTCTGCCAAAAATACAAAAATTAGTTGGATGTGGTGGCGTATGCCTGTAATCCCAGCTACTTGGGAGGTTGAGGCAGGAGAATCGCTTGAACTCGGGAGGTAGAGGTTGCGGTGAGCCAAGATTGTACCACTGTGCTTTAGCCTAGGCAACAGAGCAAGAATGTCTCAAAAAAAAAAAAAAAAAAAAGTCCTATTAAACAGTGATGTGGCAGAGGTTAACATGTCCAAGGACACACAACCAGTTAGAAATAGAATCGAGGAGATGTCAGGGTGGGAATGACCAATTCTTGTGTTAGTTTTATTTCCATTTGGTTTCTGAACACATTCTAGGAGGTTCTCTCTTCATTTGTTCAACAAATATTGCATACCTACTATGTGAGCAAGGCGCTGTTCTAGGTATATGTCATTGTACAAAACAATCCTTAGCCTGCTGAGTTTATATTCTAATGGAGAAAGGTTAATAAAAAACATACACAATGTAAGGCCAGGTGCTGTGACTTACACCTCTAGTCCCAGCACTTCGGGAGGCCAAGGTGGGCAGATTGCTTGACCTCAGTTTGAGACCAGCCTGGATAACATAGCAACCTCATATCTACAAAAACATACAAAAAAAATTTAGCTGGGCATGGTGGTGGGCACCTGGAGTCCCAGCTACTTGGGAGGTTGAGGTGCAAGGATCACTTGAGCCTGGGAGGTGGAGGTTGCAATGAGCTGAGTTTATGCCACTACACTTCAGCCTGGGAGACAGAGTGAGACTCTCTCTCAAAAATAAAACAAATATACAAGGTAAAAACAGTGAATTATACATCAGGAGGTGATGAGTATAATGGAAAACGTGTTAAAGCAGTGAAACATGGTAAGGGAGATTAGAAGTGCAGGTTAGATGCAGCATTAAACAGGTGGTCTGTAGGTGTATGAGTCCATTTTCACACTACTGATAAGGCATACCCAAGACTGGGGGAAAAAAAAGAGGTTTAATTGGACTTACAGTTCCACATGGGTGGGCCTCAGAATCATGGCGGAGGGTGAACAGCACCTCTTACTGGTGGCAGCAAGAGAAAATGAGGAAGATGCAAAAGCAGAAACTCCTGATAAAACCGTCAGATCTTGTGAGACGTATTTGCCACCACAAGAAATTTATGGGGAAACCGCCCCCATGATTCAAATTATCTCTCACCGTGTTCCTCCCACAACATGTGGGAATTATGGGAATACAATTCAAGATGATATTTGGGTGGGGACACAGCCAAACCATATCATTCTGCTGCTGGTCCCTCAGAATTTCATGTCCTTACATTTCAAAACTAAAAATACCTTCCCAACAGTTCCCCAAAGTCTTATTTCAGCGTTAACCCAAAAGTCTACACTCCAAAATCTCATCTGAGACAAGGCAAGTCCCTTCCACCTATGAGCCTGTAAAATCAAAAGCAAGCGAGTTACTTCCTAGATACAGAGGGGTACAGGTATTGGGTAAATACAGCCGTTCCAAATGGAAGAAATTGGCCAAAACAAAGGGGTAAAGGGCCCACACAAATCCAAAATCCAGTGGGGCAGTCAAATTTTAAAGCTTCAAAATGATCTCCTTTGACTCCAGAGGTCTGCAGACCTCTTTAGGAAGATGGCATTTGAGCAAAGACTTCAAGCCAGTGATGGAGTTAGGTGTGTAGACATTTGGGACAGAAGGAAGACCTAGTACAGAGGTGTGAAGGTAGAAGTATGCCTGGTGCATTCAAGGAGAGAAAGGAAGCTTGAGTAGGATGAATCAGGGACATTTGCGGGATGAAGGCACAGTGGTGCAGGAAGGAGGCAGATCATGTGGGCCTTTGTAAAAACTCTGACTTTGACTTTGAGATGTGAAGCCATGAGGGTTTTCAGAAAATGAGGCATGATCTGGCTTGTGTTTTAATAGGATTGTTCTGGTTGCGGTGTTGAGGGAACAGAAGGAGGTCAGTTGCTATTGTAGTAATCCAGGAACAAGACGATGGTCATTTAGACCCGACATGTACGGAGGGAAGATAATGTGAAGATACAGGGAACAGACGGCCATCTATAGTTGGGGCGATGAGAAATATGGGCAGATTCGGGATCTGTGTGTTTCAAGATGACACCTACAAAAGCTGCTGATGGATTGGATATGAGGTATGAGAGAGAGAGGTGGGTAAAGGATAACTCCAAGACTTTTGACCCAAGCAGCCAGAGGAGTGGAGTTTCCATCAGCCACAAGAAGAGCAGATTTACCTGGGTGCACTGGCTTATGCTTTTAAGCCCAGCACTCTGGAAGGCTGAGGAAGGAGGATTGTATGAGGCCAGGAGTTTGAGAACAATCTGGTTAACATAAGGAGACCCTGTCTCTACAAATAACAACAACAACAACAATAATAATAATAATAATAATTAGCCAAGCACAGTTGCTCATACCTGTAGACCAACCTACTTGGGAGGCTCAAGCTACTTCTTGCTCGAGCTTAGGAGTTTGAGGCTGCAGTGAGCTGTAGTTGTGCCACTGCCCTCCAGCCAGGGTGATAGAGTGAGACCTTGTCTTAAGAAAATCAAATAAAAATAAAAAGATTAGATTTGGTGTGTCTGATGCAAAAATAGAGGAGAAAGTCAGATGTTTAATATGTGCTAATTTGATATGCCTAATAGACATCTAAATGGAGATACCAAGTGGGTAGGTGATATATGAATCTGGAGTTCAGGAGTAATGACTAGGCTAGAGATATAACCATGGGGGTTCATTAGCATATGTGAGATGGAATTTAAAGCTCTAATATTAGATGAGATGTCCATAGGAATGAGTAGATAAGAGAACCTAAAATGAGCACTGGGGGGCTTCAATCTTAAGAGGTCAAGGCTAAAGGGAGGAACCAGCAAAAGAAACAAAGAAGGAAGAATCAAAGATGGAGGAGGAGTCTAACATTCTGGAAGCTTCATGAAGAAAAAGTTTTTCTTCCCTTTGTTTCTTCTTCCTCCACCCTCTTCTTCCATCCCAAAGCCGGACACAGTAGATTATGGAGAGAAAGAACAGGAGCCATGGGCAGGGCTGTGCAAACAGGATTGGCTCATCTCAGCATCTCGGTGTCTTTTCACCTTCCACTTTTATTCGAACACCTGGCAGGTAGAGGTGCTTAGTGGGATGAATGAGCTCATGCATTCTGATTTCTGGGCTTTTCAGTTTTAACAGTCTGCTTTCAGTTGGGGAGAGTAGTAACACCCAGATGTTATAGGCTGAATGGTGTCCCCACCCCAAATTCATATCTGAAAGTCCTAATTAAAGTCCTTAAAACTTTATTTAGTTTTAATTTTTTTTTTTGAGTCAGTCTTGCTCTGTTGCCCAGGCTGGAGTGTAGTGGTGTGACCTTGGCTCACTGCAGCCTTAACCCTCCGGGTTCAAGCGATTCTCCTGTCCCAGTCTCCCAAGTAGCTGGGATTGCAGGTACGCACCATGACATCCAGCTAATTTTTGTATTTTTAGTAGTGACGGGGTTTCATTATGTTGGCCAGGCTGGTCTTAAATTCATGACCTCAAGTGATCCTCCTGCC